CCCCTAAACCCTTAAACCCTAAGAACCAGTAAGAAACACAGTGACAAGGATGGGCCCAGCACGTCCTTCGGGTTGGCAAGGATGGCGAGGTGTCCGTCGTGAGCGGCGATCCAATTGAAGGCCGCTTGCTCAAAGTCCTACATGGGTGCGTATCTCTATATCTATATATATATATTTGTATGTACATATATATATATATAGAGATATTCATATAAGTCTATATCTAGAAATTATATGTGTATATAACAATACATAGGCATGTATGCCTGCATGTGTCAGTATGCTAATTCTATATGGTTATATTGAGCTTATAGTGGTTGTGCAGGTTTACGGTATGTTGGCTCCATTTGTCCGCACATATGGGGTTGTACATGGTCATTGCGGGGCTGCGGTCAAGCCTACTGAAGGGCCTGTTAAACTGTAGTTGATTGGACGCGAGCCAAAGGCGAGCCGGATTTGCCCAGATTTCAGGTTTTGGGTGTCGAGAGTCTTCAGGGATTTTGGTTGAGCGTGCAGACTTGTGGAAAGCTGCACTATGCTGTTGTCTCCGATGTGTAAATTCAGGCGGGTGTTTCTTTGAACTGAGCACGCATCAAAGCCTAAACCCTCATGACCCCCGCCAAGATGCGCTTGCAGATTTGGAAGATCCCTGTTTAGGCGTCTGGTCTACAGGCGAACTGGTTGGTACAGAATTTCCGTACCCTCGGTTCTCGACGCCCTTGATTCGCCTTTATCTATTTACCCCAAGCATGCCAGCTTTGAACCCCAAATCCTAAACCCTAAACCCATTGGTCTTCAAGATGTGGAGTGAGCCCTGGACTAAATCTAGGGATTATAGGGTACACATTGGGGGTATACATAGGGAAGCTGGAAAAGAAAATGGAAACTACAGGGATTATATAGGGGGGTATATGAGCCCTCGACTAAAATTCTAGTATACTCCCGAATAGGTCCGCCCTGAAATCCTACATATTCCCTTATAGGTCACCCCAACCTAACTTTGGTCTGTGGCTCATGTCAGGCCTTTGCTCGGAGCTTTTGTTACCCTAATCCCTCAGCAGCATGTGGCTCCAGGTTGGAACAAGTTTCAAGGATGTGTGCTTGCAAGAGACGGCTCGATGTACGGGGTGCCGATGCTGGGCGGAATGAAGTGGGACCCCGAAAGGCCAAGTAAATAGAAGGATCCAGAAAAAGGCGTTGTATCCCCTTGACCTCTTACCTTTAATGTAGAATCCTTACATGGATATCCATATGGGCGTCGCCATAGACAGTTTCAGTTTAAGATTGCATTGCTTGTCGTTCAGCGCTGTTGTACTTTCATGTGTCGACCGTCTTGGGAAACGATGGCTGTATCCTACAGTCCCTAATGCCCACTTTTCTGCCGTTCACCACGTTGTGTCATATGAGCTATAGTCTAAACTCCTACTATCCCCCTTAATAAATAAGCCGTATAAGACTCCCCTACATAACGCTCCAAACGCCCACTTCAAAGAGTTTGGAGCCCTAAACCCTAAACCCTGAATTCTAAACCCAAGACCCTGTATAACCACCTTCTTTCAGGAGTTTAGGGGAGTTTGGGGTTTAGGGTTTAGACTCTGGTTCACATGCGTTCCGAGTTTGGCGAAGGTTGGGGGGGGGGCTTACCACAACAGATCCAGAGGTTTGCGGCTAGGATAGGCCAGCCACAAGAGACCAGCAACCACATAGGGCTAAGGGTTTAGGTTTAGGGTTAAGGCTTTAGGGTTTAGGGATCAGGGTTTGCAACATAAGTGGGCTTCCCCAAATTAGGGATGATAGAGTTTAGGGCTTAGGTATCCTACCCCCAATATGGAGAATCAATCGAAAAAGAAAACGGAACATGAAATGGAAACTAATTATATGGTGGTTCATAAGGTTTGGGGTCTCCCAAAATAGGGGTACACTTTGGGGTCCCTACAATAAGGATTATGTTTATTTTGAACGCAGGAAGCAAGCAAGCAGCAGGGGTGGACAGCAGTTCAGATGCGCAATCAGGAAGTATGTGAAATGGCGGATCTCCTAAGAATGCTCTACAAACAGACTATTGATGAGCTCTTTTGCCCAGCCCTCAGTATTTGGCACATAAGGGGTCAACAGATCGAAGAACATTGCCAGTAAACATTGCTTGGGGCCTCATCCACTTTTTGGGGCCTTTAGTGGGATCCGCATGGCCAAGATCCTGAGATGAATTTCCGGAATTTCTGAGAAACTTGCACATTGCACACAGCAAGCCCAAAACCCTAAACTCTAAACTAGCAAACTATACAGACCTCTCGCTAAGGCAGGATCTTGACGCTGTTCTCAAGATTCAACCTGATGAGCAATGAGGACGCAGACTTGTGCAACTATTGCCTCAGAGAACCTGCAATGCGGCCACTGAAAGTCGGCATCTTGGGCAAGAGTAGACCTTTTTGAATTCTTGGGTCGGCTAACCCGGCAAACTTGTGGTTCACAGGTCCAGAACAAGCCGGGTCGGTTTTAACCCAAGAGCTGAAATATGCTGTACTGTCCCTAGGAATCATTCTTAATTTCTTTATAGTATAACCTAAGGAAATATGAAATATACTATCTTCTTATAGGTCTAAGGAGACTACAGTATCAAGGTGCGGTACCATGGAGGCAGCTTTCCATGGGATGAGTCCTGGCAATCCCATCCCTGAAGTAGGCATCGAGGGGCCACGGCGCAACCCCGTGGATCTGCGTGGACAGTCAAGGGTTCAGCCTTTGGGGCAGCAGAGGGGCACTACGGGATAGAAGGCGTGAACAATGGCGACGAGTGCGACCGGCTGCCTTCGAGTCGAGGCACAACAACTAGTAAGAGAGACGATCGTGATGGTTGATGCAGCATTGGTAGAAAAAACTGCTTGCGCCACCATGCGGTTGATGCCAAAAAAGCCTTCGTGAATGCGGCAAGAATATCAAAGCAATATCCCTGAAGAAAAAAGATTACTGCTCGCACATCTATAACAATGCGCTTGTGCAGTTCCGCACCTGGCTCCCAGCTGGACTAGCGCGCAGCGTGACCTTCGATTGATCATTCTGCCAAAGCTTTGCATATAGAAGCTTATCAAAATGGCCCCCTGAGGGTAGTTTCCCAAAATAGGGGAACCACGATATAGACCCCAACATGCCAGAATCCGCATTCTAGGGATCCCCCAGAAGCTATCCCTAATTTTGGGAACCTCGTTTAGGGCTTAGGGCGTAGCGCCCTAAATTAGACCGAACCCAAAATCCTAAACCCAAACCCTAAACAGAAACCCTGAACCCAAATAGTAGGCCCTTAACCTTATAATTATGCCCTGAACCCAAACACTGTAGTCTCCTTTCGTATTTCTCACTTATACTATTGTAGAACCCGAAGAAAACTACTGTTTAGGGTTTAGGGTTTAGGGTGACCAGAAAGCACAAAAACCGAGCGTTTGATGCCAAGGTTCATTCATCGGGTTGGCCTCGCCCTCCTAAAAGAGGCGGGGAATCGCAGAGCTTATATGGTTTAGGTTTTTTCGGACTAAGGGTTTAGCGTTTTAGGTTCAGAATTTGAGGTCTAAGGCTTTGGGTTCAAGATTTGGAGTTCAAGGCTTGGGGGTTTGGGTGTGTAGAGATTTGTCCTAAACCCTAGTTAAACCCTACGCCCTAAAGTTCAAGGTATATAGGGCTTAGCTTCGTGTCTCCAATTCAGCGGGCATGTCCCAGAACTGGGATGCCTAATCCTCCGGCTCAGAAAATTTCAGGTGCGCGTTCCCTCATATGACCTATAGTCACAACTCCTTAAAGGGGGTTATATAGGGGAGTATATAGGGGACCGCTGTAGGGATTATCAAGGGGCATACCAGGATTCTAGACCATAGCTTATAAAGCACACGCCCGCTAACTCCCCGCCGCTTTTTCTCCAAAGTGTGCCTTTTGCGTTTTCTAAGATGAGCAAGATTGATTCAACGTAGGCTCAGATTGTAGTAATGACTGTAGTGCCCTCCAGGTCGCGAAAAAAGGTGTTGACACAGTTTTCGTGGGGCAAAAGAAGTCTTACAGTGCTGGGCGGCCTTGGAAGTCCAGGGGCGTGCCACGTACGTCTTCACGTCTCTTTGGGCAGAGTCTATGTTTAATCCGGTGCATCCCTTCTGAGCCCTTCCTCTTAACATCAGCCCCAGCAGTGGTGTGCCACGCAATTTAGGGCTTAGGGCCGTTTAGGGCTAAGTGTTGAGGATCCGCACTACAGTAGTAAACGACACTCGTGGAGTTGACTTGAAGGGATGCAACATCTTCGACAAGCAAGCAAGGATGGACCTGTCAAAATATCCAGACAATGTCGTGCCAAACGCGTTTTGTGGGGTTTAACTTGCGCCTTGCACGCCCGCGATCTGTTGAACAGTTGGCTCTCAGGCGGTAGACCCCCCGAAGTCGGAACCAATATGGCGAGCACAACTTTGGGCCCTAATTAAACCACTTCCCTGTACACACTCCACACTCTGTAAGCCCTGTCATAACGGCCAAAGCAACACCAGGAACCTCAACCCCAACTCCAAAACCCAAATCATTAAAATTATGATGATGGAAGAGTTGCTGTAAAACCCGTGTTGAAGCCCAACAGCATCAACTGCCCTGCTTGCTCATGCCTTCCGACTGCCGCTTGCTCATGAGGGCTGCTCACAGCATAAGCCTGTGAGTCTTCCGGGCGATGGCCAGTTGGAGGTTTGCCAGAGCTTTGGTCCTCTATGTGACCTGCACCAGGACGGCCTTCGCAACCGGAGCAAGTCAGGGACAGCTTTCTTCAGCGCCGACTGCTGGGCCCATTGATCTACTGCTGAATAGGGCCGAAGCTAGGTACCCCAGTGGTACCCTTTTGCCTTTTTTGGGGGCTGGTCTCCTTATGAAAACTGAACAGTAGGAAAAAGGGTACCCTTATTAGTAATGGGTTACTGGGGAGCCCATTCCTAAACCCTAAAACCTAAACCCCATAGTAGTTTCCTTTTGGTTTTCCATTATCCCTATATAGCCCCATATAGCCCTATATAGAACCCCTATAGCTAATGGGTTACTGGGGAACCCTAAACCCTAAACCCCAAACCCTAAACCTAGGAAGAGGCGAGCCTGCTCCAGATCCGGGACGCTGCTAAACAGACTCGCGAGACATCTGAAAAGCCAGGGTGCTGGGCCACGCTGGCCAAGCATCAGGAGCTCACCCCTCAGATGAGTCATGGTCTAAACTCCTTAA